GAATGGAAAGGTAATATACGCAAAGCGAAAGGTATAAGCGAACAAAATAAAACTAACAGTGATCAACCACAACTGTGATCAATGGTAAGAAAACTAAACAGAAACAAAAATTGACGAAACCAAATGTTTTGATGAATATTCGCAATTTAAAGCTTTAAAAAAAAAGACCACAACTAAAAAGACGAACCTATATTTAGATTGAACAATAAGACAGCAACAAAGTAGTTTAGTTTCTCAATGAGCAACGATAGAAGGCTGGAAGAAAGCCTTCGATACTAAATTTACAAATGAATAACGACAACTCGTTTAATTGGTAAATAACAGAGAAAGGGACATTTTCAATGCCATTCCCCTCGTCAGTTTGGTCATCGGGCAATTAGCTGAAAAATCATTTAGATCTGTTCACCAGTTTCCTTAACACAGAAGAACAAATAAATCATCAACACCCTTTAACTTCCCCCTCTTTCCTTTCCTTATCCCACTACGGTGTTTTCCAAACAATTGCACATTTTTGTTGCATGCTTTTTTTTTTTTTTTTTTTTTTCACTTCTTAATACATTCTTATACAGCATCTTATTAGCAGTAAAACGTCATCAAAGTTTAAAAAAAAATTTTTTACTGTTTATCAGAATATCTACCTCAAACAAAAAAATAAACAACAATAAAGTCAATTTAAAAAAATGTATTGTTGAAATAACTGCATTAAAAGAAGAAAAAAAAAAAGAACGAAAATAAAAAAGCATTTTATTGTTGACCAATTTGTTTTTAGCTTTTTTTTTACAAAACCCATAATATTTTGCAGATTAGTGAAAGACGAAAAAAAAAAAAAAAAAAGAAGAAAGAATAAAGCAAGATTACATAGAATAATTGATTAGTTGAAGTTACTACATCAGTACTGCTCTGTTCCTAATTCAGTATAAACCAGCTACAAATCCAGACGGTCATCTATAGATTTTTTTTTCAGATGTATTATTTTTTCGCTCAACAACAACTGTTACTTGCTGTAGTAAAGAAAATAGATCAGTTATACCATTGGGAGTGTTATTCGTCATATTTCAGATAAATGCTACTGTCTTAATTTGAATTTAAAAGAGAAAAGAAAAAGAAGAAGTTTTTAACGCTAAAACTAGTTTTGTTCTATAACTGGTGACAAGAAGAAAAAGAAAAATGAATTAAATTTGAATCCGAGCAAATATTGGGATATACACAAAGAAATGAAACATAAATTTGGGTTGAGAAAGTTGCATTGATACTGTCTGTTTTCAAAACTACAGAAAATTGTTTCCAAAAATTTTTTTTGCATTGCCATAGTTTTTCAAGAAAAAAAATTTTTTGTTTTTTTTTTTAACAATCGACATTTACATAGATATATGAATAGAAAATATGTATATGCAAAATCAATTGCTTATCTTGAACAGTGATTATTAATGGTAAAAAGTTAAAGGTGTAAATTTAAACTGTGTTAAGTTTAAAATTCAAGTTATGCAATCATAAAAAGGCAATTAGTTATGCAATTTTTTTCTTATCTGATCAATTCCTATAATTTTTTATGCTTAAATAATACTAAAAAATATTGCTGCAATTATAGAAAGAATAGTGAAAAAAAAAAAGGAAAGACTGTAGATAAAATAGACTGTAGAAACCGGACTATCAACTGCCGGAACAAAAAAAAAACCGCAATGTATCATCAATGCGAGAATTCTATACAGCTATCTTATTGTGTAACCAACAGCAATCGGTGTTTTTCTTCTCCTTCGTTTTACTCCTTCTTTTTTTCTCCCTCTCCCTTGTTTTGCTAATAAATCGCTTCTCTCATTTGTTAATCAGCTCACCGCTTTAGCGCGTCAATTGGTTAATTTTTGCCACTGCAGGCGGAGTTTGTAGATAAATGGGCGTGGCGAGCAGTGGTGGAACAAAGACACAGAGATGTGGCGAGCAACAA